GCATAGGAGTCGGTAGCAATGAATGCAGCATGGACAAGACCTGAAGACGAGTACGGGATGCACCTTGTGTAGACCACAATTATTAGATTTAGTTATTATAATTAGATTATATAAAGAAAAACAGCCTAAGCAGAAACGGTCCGACGTATCCAAGGGAAGAAGGTGAACAATGAATTGCAATTAAATCTTTTAAGGGGGGACGGCAGGTCTGAGGCTAAATTATGTCCTTTGTTTATGTACTCTAGGCCCACGCTGACAATGATCGAAGCTCTTGAGAGAAAATTGTTATTGTAAATATTTATTAGCGTCGGTATAACAATTAAAAAAGGTGACACTCATTTGATCGAGCCTCTTAGTGGATGAAAAACGACGTCGGAATCAGTTTTACTCTACAGGATAGTGGCGGCATATTACAATGTTCCCGCTGTTTCGAACTTGAATGCAGGTGCTACCCTAAACGATACGTCAAAAAGAAGCGCAGAATTCTACTCTACACAGAGATCGGATCGAAGCTATTTTCTATGTAGAGCAAAAATTCTCTAATCATTTTGTAGTGTCTGAACTCAGACTCAAAAAGTAATGCTTGAAAAATCGTGAATACTACATAGAATCGGATCACAAATGTTGTAAAGTGTCTACAAAACCGCCGAATAGACAACATCGAGAGGAAGTTAGGCCTTATACTGTATAATAACGACGGAAATTTGTTGACGTTAACAGCGTGCGTCTACCGCAATAACGGAGAAAGCTTAGTACAGAAGGGAACGACACATATTGGGAAGTTCCATTCTCAACCTAGTACACAAGTGTCCTATGTGTGAAATGTGTAATGCTTTTTAAGACAATAAAATATACGATATTGCCATATAACAGCCACAGTTCGCATAGCATCCAGTGGGCCATATATCAAAGTGAACGCTTTTTAAAAAGATCTTTGATCTTTTTTTTTTCGTTTCAGATATGTACATGCAAAGCATTAAACATACTCTCCTCGGGGGGACGGGGGGGGGGAGGGGGACGGTTCAGTATAAAGTTCCATCGAAATTTTACTATAACAGTTTTGCAAGCTTTTGACCATAAGATCAACTAACTCGCTGGGTCAATAGAACCATGCTGCTTCCAGATTTTAGGGTTTATCAGGATTGATGTTCGGCGTACGCTAAGAAAGTTTATACTTACTTTGTCAACAATAGCGGTGCTGACTACGGCTTGACGAAGAATGATCGAGTAAAAGTCGATCTTTCCGAAGTCGCATTTTGTAATTTTCTGATATTCTTTGAACAACACTAACTCGGGAACGTCTGCAGTACTGCGTATTTCTTTGAAGCAGACGATTTGTTATCAAATTCGGGTGAACGAACTGGTGAGTTCGAATTAATTCTCTATGGCGAAGATCAATGCATTGGATGCGTGGACTCAACCTCGTCATAGGTCAAACGGAACCATCAAGATGCACGTCGTCCCAGTAATGTCGGTAATCAACCGTACTGGCCATCGAAGCAGATTGCCGTTAACGTACGGATTCAGACAATAGCATTGCCCTTCACACTTTTTGCGATTACGTACGGCAGCGGTGGGCTGTTTTTCAAACGTCTCCAGATATTGCAGCGGCTAAATACATTGTTTTGTTTTTGCTTAGATCGTTTGCGCGTAAAGAAGAACCCGGATGTAATATTCAATTTCAGATTATGAAATGCAGGCTATCAGTGATGAGCCCATATGGAAAGTAGGCGTAAGCAGCGCGAGGCGCGTTAGAGTTTCATATAGCTGCGTTGATAGCGATGTTGAAATCATGCCACGACAGATTGGACTCCGAATGAACTTTTGCACAACGTAGGGGCGATGCCCGATGCTGATAAATATCTGGCGGCTAAGAATCGGGGTTTCTGACTTGCAGGTTGGGATAAAGAAACTAGGTATAGCTGAAATGAAAGAACATGGCAATACTCAGAATCAATGTTTCGTATGTGTAGTGTAGCTTATAAAATGATGAATGGAAAACCTCAAAACGTTCCATAGTAGCTAAATAATTTCGCTTTTCCATTACCAACGTTTTCAATACAGGCCGATTAGGAACTATGCAACTTTATGGGAAGTTCCTTCCTTATGACCACTTGTCACCTAAAAATCTTGCATCACTGCGATGATCAACAGTGACAAAGACTGCAAACTACGATGACTCAATACATGGTAACTTTCTAGCTGAAAAAAATCCGGCAGAAAATTAAAGGTGAGTTATTTTTGGGCAGATAGGCGGAGTTTCAAGGTTGGATAAAAATGGTTCTGGGAAAGCTTAACGAGAGCGACAGCTGCCTATTTCGTTAGCCGATTATGTTGTAGATTATGATAATAATGCGTCATTTAGGAACGGATGATAATGAACGCCATATATATTCATATGAAAGAAGCACCTGGTGTACTTTGTCCAGGTAGATATGCTACCTAATGATGGATATGTTAAACCTTTATGAGTAAATCATGACACAACGCGCAATCGTGCAATAGAAGCCCACTGAAACATAATGCAATGCCTTCTTAGTGTACAGCAGTCAACAGAATTTTAGGGAAGGGTTTCGACGGAAGGGTCCATTCACGCGATTACTATGACAAATGCTATCGACGTTCTTTCACAAAAAGGCGTAACAGCGTTGCGGCTCCCGTGCCCTACAGCTATCGTAACGTTCTTCAACTTTTATACTTTTCGAGAAAGGCTCTTTTCTAATTTGTGCTTCGAAAAAAACCATGCAGACAAAACATTATATAACAATAGAAAACTGTTCGAAGAAAATCAACCTCCATCAATCTGTCTATTCCTCCAAAAAGAGCACTGGTGGCCTTATTGTTTGTTTATTCCGTCACCTTTTTTTTCCGGTGAGTGGATTTGTTGTGCTTGAGACGAAAAGCTTTATAGAAGACGATGGGTGCCTGTTCTATCCTGTAATTTGTCAAAATATTTATTGTAGCTTTATCGGTCACAGCCTTCACAGACAGGTTATCATATTAACTCTTATGTGCAGTATCATTAGTTTGCAAGTCTCTTTATCTTACACATATTGACAACTAAATTATTCACAGAAATTAGAGTGAAACCACAAATTGTACACGATGGAAATGTTACTGTGAGACCTATAAATATAAGCACTTACTCGTGCGCGTCATCACATATGGTCATAGCTGAGGCGGTAGCTAGGGTGAGATAGTGGGTGGGTTTAGCGTTAGCCAGTGATTCGACTTTGGGCAAAGAATTTCTTTTGGAAACGAGTTCTGTTATATGAAAGGATGGAGATGAAGAAGCTATTATTCATAACGCTGCAAAGAGATATGGAGTCTGCGTGGCTACGAAGGCAAAGCAGGCGCGTCCTACGATTTCCCGTACAGAATGAGGCCTCAGGGAATAACTTGACATGTGTATGTAAAGTTGCACATGCACCGAATTTAGACATGTTCATGTAAGTCGCTTCAAAAGGAATTACCTAGCACAAAACTCCTCTGCGATAGCGTTTTCGTTAAACAGCGCTATTTCTTGCCGGCAATTTTTTCTCTAAGATATCTCTGAGAGCGCGAACGCCTCAATGTTTTGAGTTTTACGTCCAATGCCGCCATTGGGCGTTATTATCAAGCGGCCGAAAAGTGTTCCTAGTCGTTGCTAACTAGGTAGTTCAATGTATAGGTTACCTGCAAAGAAAAACGACATCTACGTGTGAGTTTGTGAATTTACAATACGACGAGATCAAGAAAAAGAGGTAAAAAGAAACATTTGAGATGTTAATACCGTCCGGAAGCCTTAGCCACCCACCCGTCAGCCCACTTTCGCGCAATCAGTTAAGTTGCATAACATTAAAAAACCTTTAACAATGAGAGCATGTTTAAATCGATCGCCTTAGTCTATGGCTTGTTATAACAAAGAAGTATTTAACATAAAAGATTAAGTAGATATCAGTACCGTTTTAGGACGACTGCAACATACTTACCGTTTACAGTAAATAGGCATTTATGTGCTACATACTGAACCATGTGCTTATGTATAATGTGTCAGGCCTTAGGCAGAATTCAGCTTGGTTTTCACTGGCTGGATGCTTTGAATCCTGCACAGCTGTCTCTTTGTGACTCCGTTGTGACTGTGACACTCGTTGAAGGAGATCGATGACAACGAAAAGTTTAGCTTTATAAACTATATAGGTGCGCGTACTAGTGTTCTTGTTGCAGTGGCTTTTTATCATAGGCAAACGTTATCGTAGGTTGACCTGCACGTCTCCCACGTCAATTCAGCGTTTTGCAGTCATTTTACATGATAATAATAATAATATAAGAAAAAACATAAGGAAAAGACATAAACGCACTGGTAGCTTTTTTTTTTCTTTTTTTTTTTTTTTATACTAGAAAGTGTGACAATTCGATATGAGATTCGTTTCAATAGTTATGATACATTCTTAATAATTTTAGTTGATATTGGATAATATGCAATTATTATCTAACTTTACGTTATTGAGGCGTCCGTTATTAATGTGTTCAAAGTATGCCCTTTGATAGCTTGCAGGTCGAAAGAAGATAAGGAGCTTCAAAAGATTTAGTTCCCATTTAGTACCCTTCATCTAAGCGAAAAATAGGCTAAAAATTTAGATCATTTGATATTTTCTTCGTATTTAGTGTTATCGCTTACGCAAAAGCTAAAGAATACTACTTAACCTTTGTACTGTAGAAGGAATGCTTGTTGTCAGTTGCATACTATTTTCTAAATATAAGATAGTCTAGAATCATAGCCCACGTTTGTGATGTTGAAAAGACGAGATTGGTAAAACTATGGTGCTTGTATACCTTGTTCACTCAGATCATTCGTCCGCCAATCCTGGGTATTTAGAAACCTCTATATCGAGTTCCCCCTTCCCCACGATGATACTTACGTGTCGCATGATTTACAAACACAATGTTTGCTGTACAAAAACAAAAAATAAAGCAATAACAATCTAACCTACGTGTATTACAATTCGTTTCTTTTCCAGACGCAAGCACTACGGAAAAAGAGAGATGTTGAAACCTGGCCAATAAAAACGATAGTCTTAATTAAAGTCATCACTCATCTGATACCTGGCTCGTATCAGGTACTGCTAACTTCTACTTGGAGAGGCCTTGAAGCGATGTCGGCTTCTTCATAAGGCCTATTTCAGTTTCGAGATGGCTGCTGGTTAAAGGACGTCACGAAGTTTATCAGTGATAGCTGTAAACCTTAACAAGATGATTCCGCCGAATCGAATGTTCGTTTATACCGAAATGGTGGAGCACTAGCTGTGGTAAAGAAATGAGATTTCAAACATTTCAAGTTCAGGATCCAACAGTTTGTTACACGAGTGATCGGTACTGATACCCATTGACTTTGATACTGCTACCGTTTGGTTGCACTAGTAAACCTCCAGGCAGATAGCCGAAAATTTCTGGGCATGTAAAGCTTCATTGGAACAAAACCAAATGGAAGACGTCAAATCAGAGATCTCAATTCCAAATTCACGGGCAGATGGAAGCAAATCTCGTCAGATTCGATTTAAACAGTGCTTCAAGGTGTTTCTCACTCATCTTCTGTCGCAGGTAAATTCTGGGTATAATTTCAAGGAACTTCAGTTACACACATACTGATCATATAATGATGAATACGAGCCGACAGTAAAATATTTGTTTAGCCTAACGTCACTGAGGTTTCGGTTTTGCAACGCTTTCGAAAACAGACAATATTCTTCTATGTTCATTGATTGCTTTTACAGCAGGTTAAGCAGTGAGTGTTAATGACATAAGTTTAAGGAGCCCTACGGGATTAACTAGAAGAACCTACTATATACGGTGCTGAAAGCCGGGAATCGGTGCTTAAATAGAACTCCAAAAATCTGAGCTGGGATTCTAACCGAATGTCCCATTATTGTCATTGTATTTGGTAACAAGAAGTGAAGTCTTCCTGGTAAGTGTGAGGTAATCCACCCTATAAGCATAAGGTTGGGGCTTAGATATTCCAAAAAGATATAATTTTTTGGAGCATATCTCCCGGTTTTATGGAAAGCCGTTTCGTTGTAGTAATCACACGTTTTTTTTTTCCCATTAGAACTTTTCGCTGTGACGGAAGAGATATCGTTCGATCTGTACATTGAACTTTTTCGGACGATATAGACTTGATTGTACTGTATTATTGTTATTACCACCATGAGTAAGCGGATATCCGGAATTAGTTTGTAAGTTCTAACTCAAACGCACATTTAGCATGAGACTGTTTTTGTTATTCGATTCAGCATAATTAGATTTGATGATTTATAAATTAGCAAATCAGGTTCGAATGAAGACCTATTGCTTTAATCGCTCGGTGGATTTTCTTGACGCTTCACGTAGCTCACAGTGTGTGCTCATTGCCGTATCGTTTCTTGTCGCTCAGGTCGGCCTATGCGTGCTAGTAGTGGCATACGTGGTTGGAGGAGCTTTTTTGTTCAAGCACATAGAGGGGGACGCCGAGACTCTTAACAAGCAACAAATCCGAAGTCATCGACAGGCATGTCTTCAAGACATGTTCAATATTACTGAACAACTTAACGTTTTCGAACGCGTGCGCTGGATAAAAAGCGTTGAAATACGTTTAAAAAGGTATTTTATCTTTTTGCGTTAACTTTGCGAAACTCACGAGTGGGCCGCGAGTAAACTTTACTTCTCTAAAGAATAATACAGGTTACATATGACTCCTATAAGATATCAACGTACGCCTTTATCTATTGTATTCGTCTACTAAAAACGCCAGAAAGAAAACGCCACTCATTTTGTTTGTACTTGTTATAACAAAAACGGTACAACGTTAGAACGTATAATAGTAACTCGCGTGTGTTGTAGCGTTTTTACCTCAGTTCGAATTCAACTCAGGAGAGCATGAAGATCGAAACTCTAATCACTTATTATAATTACGTAGATAGTCGTGGTGTTATTATTATGGTGGTTAAATTAATATAGTCATTAATGTAGTTACCTGTTTCTGAAGATGCTAATGACGAGACGAGAGTCAGCAGGATTTGCAAACGCGCGCACATATCTTTCTACTAAAGGGTATGCAATACACATATTGATTGACGCGTCTAAAAAAATGACTACTGCTGTGTATGTAGATACGAGGAAGACGTCGTAAAGGCAGTTCGCGACAGCGGCTATGACGGAAGCGACGTTGACCAACCTATACAATGGACCTTTTCGGGGGCCTTACTCTACTGCATTACTGTCATTACCACCATAGGTGAGTGAATATACGACTTATGCTTTTGATTGTCTTTGTTACCTCATTTAGCATGATACGAATTATGTTCGAATTAAGGCCTGCTCGTAAGTACGATACGATTTGGCCAGTTGTACGCGCATAGGTATTCCATTTTCGGCACTCCATTGAACAAAATTATGCTTGTTTTCAAGCGTACAATAAGGCGGCATAGAATATCAACGAAGCCTATGATAGAGTAAAACGATAAATGAGATAAGTAATTAAGATCGGCTATTTTAAATTTAGGGATCTCCAGTTGATTGTCGAAACTGTCCGCTAGGAATAAATCCGAAAAAAGCGTAAACTTAAGACGGTCACCCTTTATCGTTAAGTGTTCAGTTCCGAATGAGCTCAAAACCACTGGGACAAAATAGCCACATCTTGTAAGCGTACGAGAATCCAAACCGCTCTGATGCTTATAGTTAGAGCGTTTTGTTAGTTCAGCCGTCGTTGACAAACGTCACGAGCTTCGCCATCAGGTAATTTAGAATTTATGTGTAATTTTTTACGTATCACGATTGCACTTACGCAGCCGTTCATATTTGCGTTTTTTTAAATGATATTGGAAATCTATAGAGTATGTTTCAAAAAGTCATTGACGTCCAAATAACCAGTTAATAGTAGAGGCAATTTAGCTAGCAGTCTCCTTGAGCTCACTTTCTATTTCAATCCACGTGGTATTCCTGCGACACACGAAGTCGCCAGCCCGATATACTGTTATTGAGGTTTCTACAGTTTCTGCGCCGGCTCCATTGTGAAACGAAGCCTAGGTAGAGCTGTAACGAAAATGGCCGAAATCGAAAAATGGGGCATATTATATGAACCCATCTCAATCCCAAGGTCTGTTTCTCCGCATCAACTTCTTTCGGAACTTGCTGCTTTGACAAATGCAATTTAATATTGGCAAGATCTTCGCACACTGCGCGCTTGCTGTGGATCCATTCATTACTCAAATGTTCCTTGTCTGCAGTGGTAAATTGTCATTGCTTGCTCAGCCTTTCAGTATATTCATTTGATCTTTGCCGATGTCGCCCAGTCTTTTTCCCGAACGAAGGCCATGTCCTAGTAGGGTTGTGGTCGCCCTTCTACTACCGACACATACCATCGTTCAAGGTCTTACTTGTAGGACTTGCTCGATAGGACCGACTCGAAGGTTTTCGGCTAGGGCCGCTTAACTTCCAGATGATGAACGCATATACGACCAGAACAGTATGGCAGCCTATATGTAGTCCACATCATATCATACACGTACATCCGGCCTAGCCCTTGTCCCAACGCCCGCAATAGTATACCTACTGATTTAGATACGACGTCACGAGTGCTCCCTTCCTCTATCGTCAGGTCAGTTGCTTATAGTCGACCTTGCGCGACGATTAATTATCATGCAGCATTGAGTAACCTGAGCCAAATCGTGTCGAGTATCGTTTTGTCAAGTATTGGCAGCCTCTATGGGGTAGCAGTACAGTTGGTCTACGGAGGCTGTTGTCGTTGGCGCTTGAGGGTCGGTGCGACGAGCTCTAGCCTTATAGTTCCACAAGAGCTGTTTAACTTTGGAGAAATAAAATGAAAAAAGATGACGTATACTTAATATAATTTATGTGAACAATGCCTGTTAGCAACTTACTTTTGTTACCATTTGTGGCTATGTTTTTTTAACACACACACAGAGAACAGCTGGTCTAATGGCATACGAGTATTCTCTTCCTTTCGTTCTGTAAAAGTCTGATAGCGCGGAACTTTCTTAACTGGAAATGTCAGCACTTGCATAATGCTTTCAACAGGATAAGGAAGCAAATATTGTACGTTCAACTCTCGAGGCGAGCTTTTACGCACATGATTTGTTATTATTATTACAGGTTACATATTGTCCGCGTTCTGGTACATTATAACTGGAGAATATTTCTGAGCTGCGAAGTCCGGATCGAATGCTCAACGTATGTGTGTGTACCATTACATTCATCCAACTTGTTCATTTTATCGAACACGCCAGCAGAGCAAATATATGGCTAATGTAAATTTTAGCCAAAAATACTTATTTTTGCCTCTAAACGAGCCTTGCATCTATACTCTACAGACGCTACGATTGCTGGACGACGTCCAAAACTAGAGGCACCACTTGCAAAATAGATCGCCTAATAAGTCGTCCTCATCTTTCTATTACCAGTACAATACACGGCCTTATTAAACAGCAAGATAAAATAAGTGACGTTTTCCGATCACACGGCGTCCGACAATAGACGTGCCATGCGTGTCAACTAGGCGAAAAAAAAAACAAAAAACGATGCTTAAGGGCCCTGTGGGGTAGTCGATTTGTAGGTAGTTTTCAGGTCAGTTACTGATGAGCCAGACAGCATAAACGTCATGGCTTCACGCGACCAGTCGTCCATTTTTTATTTAATCCTCCCTGTCAGTTGATTGACGCGTTGAGTGAAGTTTGTAGCCTGTGCCGTTTATCTATAGAGTCTCCCATTCTTCTTTGATCTCTCTCTCCATTCGCCTTTGATCTCCTTGCACATATATTCTTTATCTGAAATAATAGTTCGTCGGCTTTTTCTTCAAGAAGATCAGGATCACTTCTGTTCGAAGCCAAATTGATGAGATATGAAGAGTACGAAGCTGAGATCGTACTGTTCCAAAGAGGATGCAGAAGTCTATTTGTAACATGTTAGAAATACGTTTGATCGTGCGTCTCGCTGGATTTCCACAGAGACGCTTTTTTCGGATGACGCCATGTTCCGTCAGAGCGTTAGATGGCGTATTTACAACGATAAAACATCGACACCGAGAGGTTTTGGTGTCAATGGTGGAAGCATTACATAACATTATAGAAAAAGAAAACAGTTCAAAGTAAACCGGAGAAAGTTAGGCGATTCTAACGACCGTATGCGCTGCCTTTTAATACATATGAGAGACGGATCGTTGATGCGCGTTGACTAAATCATGTGCAAAAGCATCCCCTCCATTATCGGTGGTAACTCTTCAAAGGAAATCATCCAGCAGGAGTGGCCTTGTAAAAGAGTTGAACCAGCCATATTGCCCCTAACAATATACAACCCTTCGACCGCTATATGCAGGGACGAATTACACAATATTTCTAAATAGTTTAGAGAAACATCTGCAGTTATTTCTTCTATTTATAACGGCTTACATAGTAACGAACGTTAATGACAACTTATAGCTTTGTCATCTCTGACACTACAACTTTGTGTATATACATACATTTTTGAAAGATGCCCGTACGTGAAATGAATGATATATTTATGGAATTCAAAATACATGTGTTATCTGAGTCTTTTCGATAACACGATGGGATCTCTCAACAAAATATAAATGATCTAAAAATCGACTGAGAAAGAGCGAACATAGACAATTATCAAGCTGTCCGCTCGAAAAAAACACAGATCAATTTCTTTCAATTTTTATTTTATCTCTATTGAATCACCTTAATAGCTTCTATGATCTGAGGGCATATTTATCTCAAAGGATTCGGAACAGAATCACTTCGAATCTGCCAACATCAATAGATGTGTGTTGTATCTTTTCTTCACACCTGTGTTTCATATTTGGTTCAATTTTGGTTGATGAAACTGGCTCAGTAGGCTGACTACGCCCATATTTTCTTTTTGTTCACTTAATAGGCAAGAAAATAAAACTGTTCGAAAACGACATCTGTGAATTTTTGCGAAAAAAAACATAAGACCTAGGACAACATCCATAAGCGCCCTCTAGAGGGCACTAAGGCGCCGAATTGCTATTGTTGTGGCTCGCTCCTAACAAAGCGTATGTGTATAATCTGTCAGAAACAAGCACTTATGACATAGCATTGTGTCAAGCCAAGCCGCAGGATACTTTACAAACACTCTGAAACGTATTGAATTACGTATAAATTCGTTCGTACGATCGTAGGGCGGATAATTTTGCTGACTACGGAAATGCTGGTGCTGGAAGATTTTAGCCGTTACCGCAAAATATGAATCCTCAAAAAAGGCTCACTTTTGTAGATTCAGGTGTCGAAAATTATATAGATGGCTCATATCGTTTGAACGAGATTGATTTTCAGTTAAGGGCGTTGGCTTAATATCAGAACAGTGATAGTCCGCCATGCTGCTACATGCAGCATGCCCGATGGATATAGTATAGACGTATAACTTGTGAAATTAGCGACTGGCACAGATAAATAGAAGACTAATGCTAATAGATGATCAGTGGCCTATCGATACTTGCTGAAAAAGTAATTTATGTATAAATTCTATTTTTGCATAAGATCACAAACAAGGAAACAGTACTGCGACGTCTTGTATACAGATTCTGGGAAAAACACAATCACCATTAACCCAGTTATCACTTCAATATATCGTTGCAAGGACCTCGCTACGCAGCTTAGATATGCTGGTTTCTTCACATGTTATTACTATTCTGTTCATTGAAGCATTACACCGAAAACCCGTAAGTAAGCTATGTAAGCGAAACAAGCTGGTCGTAGTATTAAAAAATGTATATGACACAAAGGCAATACAAACAAGCCCAATTCGGCAACAGGTCTTCGAATTAAGGGTCGGCAAAGAATCTTATCCACCTATGTCGTTCTAAGTTACACAATATGTAGCATGTATACAACTCCCAATGAGCAATAGATTTTTGGCATGTAAAACACACCTATTCAAAATCTTTTTCTTCGAACAGCCTGATCCTCTGAGGCTGTCACGTAGGTTCTAAACATGTTGTTTCTTTAACCACATTAATGGATATAAGATGTCGCTAGTAGGCTATTGAACCATGAGACCCTATTACAGTAACAACAAGGTTTACTCCGTAAGCGTACATCGCTTTGTGTTCTTATTGAGTTAGTTGTCATTTACAACTTCGGTATACAAGCTTTCTACCTAAAGTCTTTCATCGTTAAGACTGTTGTTGGCTGCTGATTCTCGCCACCATAGTGGTAGTGCTTCCAATGGCGTTATTTCCCATTTCGTTGAAGG